AGTTTCTGGGGGAAGTAGACTTTCGCCGCAACTACGGCAGGCTCTCCGCTGTCAGCCACCTCAGCTCGGTGTCAAGAACCCGGAAGACCGGAGTCGATATCGGGCGCGGTGGCTGACGCGGCTAAGTAGTCCGTCGGCGCGTGCCCCACAGGCAGGACGAACAAGGTTCTCGTATAAACAAAAGACGACTCAAATCCCCACTAAACCGGAATGCCATGGAGGCCACGTTCTAAAGGGATCATGACAGCAGAACGCTCTGTGCCTGAGAGGAGAACCGAGCTATCCTGTCAGTTGGCAGCTACAGCATTCAGCGCCCAGTGATTGGTTAGAAGCGCTTTATCGTGAGCAATATGTGCTACCACAGGTGCTCTCTTGACAGAAAGATGGACTCTATTGTGGAAAATATCATTCCAAACATTTCAGCAAAAACTTATTCCATTCACCCTGAATAAAATTAGGCGCACAAACTATGTAAAGTGACCGAATACTGCAATTGCCAACATCATAACCAATCAGCCTTTAATGGGTGGATTGAGCTATGTGTAATACGATGTGCAACTTTGCGTATCCGTTCTGCGCTTTGTTTGGTTGCCTTTCTGAGATGCGTTTCCGTGTGTCTACACGTTGTATTTAGTGTTCTTTTATTGTAGATTGTTTTTGTTTTTACTTAATTTCCTTAACGATCGCGTACTTTGTTTTTTAGATTTGAAGGTTTAAGCTTTGTAGTCTGGCTAATTCGTCGGCGGAACGTCAGACTACCGAAATTTTGAATGTGGTTTTATTACCATTGTCAGTTTAAGTACTGCTTCTTTATAAAAAAACAGAAAGCCATAAACGATATAATAGTAAGAAAAATACGTAGTCCTAGATAAAATTTGGGTAGATGTTGGGATTTAGGAATTGGTGCATCGGTTGCATTTCGTGCAATTCGATCTTTGAGTGTTTCTCCCTTCGGTTTACTGCTAATACGAAGTAGAAGGAGCTATAATATATTTGTCAACAACTTTTACAAATAAATAAAAGAATATAAATCAGTGTACAATGCTATAATAATAAAAAGTAACCAAGACGATTTAGCGGCAAAAGTAGCTTATTTAGGCCCACTCATATACCCCTAGTCCCAGCATTTTGTCCTGCAAAAACGGTGGTTATAGGTTTTTAGGGGGGTGGGGAAATAGGATAGACAGCGAAGGAAATTTTTAGAAGTAAGTATAAAGTGAAAAAATATAGTCGAAGTTGCTTCCCGCGGCAGCTGTGTGTAAGTTGTTCCGCATGTAAATTGAAGGTGTGCGCGGCGCTTGGCACCGCGGACTTTAGTAATCTAACTCCAGAACGGTAAGTTGGACCTCAGGCAAGTTGAAGTAGACGACCTCCTGACTACCATTTCAATTCTTCGGGGAATTCAAGAAGCCTGCAATTTGATAATCGGGTTTTTCCACAATAAGTTAAAC